GAGATATTGATTATGGTGACGAGAGTAATGGGATGTTGATTATGGTGACGAGAGTAATGGGGATGTTGATTATGGTGACGAGAGTAATGGGGATGTTGATTATGGTGACGAGAGTAATGGAGATATTGATTATGGTGACGAGAGTAATGGGGATGTTGATTATGGTGACGAGAGTAATGGAGATATTGATTATGGTGACGAGAGTAATGGAGATATTGATTATGGTGACGAGAGTAATGGGGATGTTGATTATGGTGACGAGAGTAATGGGGATGTTGATTATGGTGACGAGAGTAATGGGGATGTTGATTATGGTGACGAGAGTAATGGGGATGTTGATTATGGTGACGAGAGTAATGGAGATATTGATTATGGTGACGAGAGTAATGGGGATGTTGATTATGGTGACGAGAGTAATGGAGATATTGATTATGGTGACGAGAGTAATGGGGATGTTGATTATGGTGGTGATACTGGTACTTATAATGATAATAATGGTGTTGGTTATGGTGATGGAATTAATGATAACAGTGATAATGGTAATTATGTTTCATAATGACCATGATACTGATTATGGTAATATTTATGATAATGATGGTAACAGTAACGTTGATGATATCGATAAGACTGAAGATGATAATGAAAAAGATAATGTTATTGATGATATTATTGATGATATTTATACTAAAAATGATAACTGTGATGATGATTCGTTGATGGTGATGGTCATTATAGTGCTGATAGTGGGGTAATGATGATAATGTGATAATGTTGACAATGGTAGTGATGGTGACGTTGTTGAATATGAAGAGATTTGAGGTAAGGATGACAACGATAATTTTGTTGATTTTATGATGATAAAGATTCTCATACTGATAATGATAACGACGATGAAAATAATAACGAAAACAAGGATAACAAAGAGAAATATTTAACAAAATCAAGAAAACAGAAAACAGAAAACAAAATAGAAAAGAAAAAAAGAAAAAAGGAAAAAAAAACAGAAAACAGGAAAAAAAGAAAATAAAAAAAGAAAAAAGGAAAAAAAATCAGAAAACAGGAAAAAAGAAAATAAAAAAACAGAAAACAGGAAAAAAGAAAAAAAAATATATATAGAAAAGAGAAATAATAATAAAAAAAAAATGACAACGGAAAAAAACAAAAAACAAAAGCAAAACAGAAAACAAAAAACAGAAAACAAACAAACAAAAACAAACAAACACAAAACACATACAAAAAAAAAAAAAAATCAGAAAACCAAAAACACAAAACAGACAACAGAAAACAAAACAAATAAACCTCTCTCTATTTTCTCTAAGTCCCGTTCAAAACACACCTTTTGGCTCGTTGAACTTGCCTCGTTTATATCAGTGTGAGAAGCGAGAGTGCACTTTGGCAGGTGTTTTTGAGGACCTCTTTGGGTAGGAAGAGATGAGGAAAATAGAAGAGAAGAAGAGGAGGAAAGAAGGAGGAGGAGAAGGGGAGGAAGGAAAGAGGTGGAGAAGGGGAGGAAGGAAGGAGGAGGAGAAGGGGAGGAAGGAAGGAGGAGGAGAAGGGGGGGGGGGAGGAAGGAGGAGGAGAAGGGGAGGAAGGAAGGAAGGAGGAGGAGAAGGGGAGGAAGGAAGGAGGAGAAGGGGAGGAAGGAAGGAAGGAGGAGAAGAGGAGGAAGGAAGGAAGTGGAGAAGAGGAGGAAGGAAGGAGGAGGAGAAGGGGAGGAAGGAAGGAAGGAAGATGGGGAAGGGGAGGAAGGAAGGAGGAGGAGAAGGGGGGGGGAGGAAGGAGGAGGAGAAGGGGAGGAAGGAAGGAAGGAGGAGAAGAGGAGGAAGGAAGGAAGGAGGAGGAGAAGGGGAGGAAGGAAGGAGGAGAAGGGGAGGAAGGAAGGAAGGAGGAGAAGAGGAGGAAGGAAGGAAGGAGGAGGAGAAGGGGAGGAAGGAAGGAGGAGAAGGGGAGGAAGGAAGGAAGGAGGAGAAGAGGAGGAAGGAAGGAGGAGGAGAAGAGGAGGAAGGAAGGAGGAGGAGAAGGGGGGGGGGAGGAAGGAAGGAGGAGAAGAGGAGGAAGGAAGGAGGAGGAGAAGAGGAGGAAGGAAGGAGGAGGAGAAGGGGAGGAAGGAAGGAAGGAGGAGAAGAGGAGGAAGGAAGGAAGGAGGAGGAGAAGGGGAGGAAGGAAGGAGGAGAAGGGGAGGAAGTAAGGAAGGAGGAGAAGAGGAGGAAGGAAGGAGGAGGAGAAGGGGAGGAAGGAAGGAAGGAAGATGGGAAGGGGAGGAAGGAAGGAGGAGGAGAAGGGGGGGGGAGGAAGGAGGAGGAGAAGGGGAGGAAGGAAGGAGGAGGAGAAGGGGGGGGGAGGAAGGAAGTGGAGAAGAGGAGGAAGGAAGGAGGAGGAGAAGGGGGGGGGGGGAAGGAGGAGGAGA